GGAAAATAAAAGCTAACAATACTTAAGAGTAAATAATATATCCGAGTAGTTACTACCCGACGATAAATCATACGCGATAGGGGAAGGAGGGGTAGCGGGATTATATTCTCTTATAGCCTTATCGATTATCCCGGCCTATCGATACTAAGAGGTTAATATTAATTTTAATTAGTTAATTAACTAGTTAGATTTATCACTAATTAGTGAGCGCTATAAATTAAGGCTAAATTATAGGTCTATCGTACTATCGGTCCGCTCCTTATATATTTCTTAGCTACTTTCTTTTAGCTTAATAATTTACTCCCCTTAGCCTAGCCTTTAAAGCCACTTAATCTTCCACTTAATCTTCTACTTAATCTTCTACTTAATATTCCACTTAATCTTCCACTTAATCTTCTACTTAATCTTCCACTTAATCTACTATTAATTATTTATAATTTCTAAGCTAATTATTCTTATTTATAAGCCCTCTTATATATATAATTTTATACACTTGTAGTATATACTTCTATATAGGATTAATAGATTATAGATTAAGAGGGGGGCGACGGAGATATAAAAGAAAGTAGCTTTATCCGTTCTATAAATCTTTAATTAATATTTATATTAACCTCTATAATCGATTTTTTAACCTTTTCGATAACTAATTCTAGTCTTAGTCACTAGCCGTATAATATAGTATTAAAAAAGACTTCCTCTAATAGTCACTAAGGCTTAACGCCACTAGATAGCCTAACGAAGGAGTCGACTATATCTCCTACCACCTTAAAGGATCTAATACTTCTCTTTAGTGAGTTTCTTAAGAACGCGCTACTCGAGCTTACCGACTAAGAACCTCTAAACACTCCCGTCTCCTAGGACTATTCCCCACTAGGCCTCGATATGATTCGACTAAAGTAGTTAATAGTTAAGCTTACCTACGATAAATATATATTAGCTAAACCCTCCCTAGTAACTAAGCCTATTCGATCTTCTTCTACTAGTAATAAATAGTAAGAGAATATTTAGGCGATAGATAAGATTAATATCGAAAGCTAGATCTATACTATACCGGATGATTTTAAGTCGTTTAAGAAATAGGTATTAAAATCCTAATTTAAAATAGTTATAGAAGTGTATAAGTCACTAGCTAACTACCCCTTCTACTTTTTTAGATAGCTAACACGGGTCTAGCTAGGATAAAGAAGTATATAAATATAGGATTACCGAGCTAACGGAGACTAGTAATAACCTAGACGACTACGCTAAGTACGTATTCGTTATCCGTAAACGTGTTAGTATATAATACCTTTACTTACCGGACCGAAAACCTACTAATAGTATAATTAGATAGGACGTCTAAGGAGGTAGTGTTATTTATAGATATTAAGTCGGAAGGCCTACGCGATATCCTACGAGACGTGTTACACGATATTAAGGCCGTTAGCCTAATAGAGGATAAGCCATCGGTAATTAAGATAGTATTATCATTAAGGAGCACACTAATATAGATTTAGATCGAGTAAAACGTCCTTTTCTATTTCCTCCCTAGAGCTCGACAGATATATAGAGAATATAGATAGTAGTTCGGACTATAAGTCAGCATATACGAAGCATCTCCTCTTACTTATCGACCACCTTAAGTATAAATATACTTCTACTTTATAGCGTCTCGAGTTAATATTATAGCACGGTTATATTATATATAACCTTCTTTAGGCGCTTTTTAAACCTAGTTGCTATATTTATACTATATATATTAGTATAAAAGAGCCACGATATATCATATTCGACGTAGGGGAAGAGATAATATAAAATAACGAGACGCGGTTTAATCTCGAATACCGATTCCTTAATTATAACGGAGTTAAGTTCGGTAAGGCCGGAATCTTTCTACGTGTACTAAAGTTCCGGGGGTTAAAGCCGATCGCGACTCTTACGGCTTACCCTTTCCGCCACTATCCGAGTCACGGGTAAATCTAGAAACACTTAGTCGAGAGAGGCTAAAAGTTTCTAGGGTTAGTAGGCTCACATATTTAGCACTATAAAGGCAGCGTATTCTTTATAAATAAGGGGAAGATTTTTAAAATCAATATTAATAGCCGAGTGGTAGTAGACGCCGTATTTTTCTATAAAATGCAGCTAAACTACTCCCGACCGTCACTCCGCGATATAGGGGTAAAAGATAAGAATAGCATTATAGTTATTAATATTGGTGTAATGCTTATAGAGGGCCGTGAGCGAGAGAAGGAGAAAATGCGAGGAGACGGTGTGGATGTATAAAAGCTAAGCGAGGCCGATTTACTAGTCGCCTACCTAATAGTTTGCTATTTTAGTTTTAAGGAGAAAATGTTCTATATATGACACGACTAATAATAGTTTGGTCTCCGGCTAATGTGATTCTAGTAGAGTACGTAGTTAGTGCTCTTAGGGACGTGGATTGGTCACCCGAGTCGTTCGACTACCTAAAGATCCCTTTAGAGACTAAGACTATCCTCTTATCGTTGGCGAAAACCCGCCTAAGGATAATACCGACGGTACCGTTCGACGACGTAATTAATAGAAAGGGCTAAGGATTTAATATTCTTCTAAAGTATGTCGGTAAAGTATCTATAAATCAAGACTTCTAAACCTAACTTGTGCTAGTGGCCCACCGGGAGTCGGAAAGACTTTCACGGTTAAGGCAACCTCGGAGTATTTCAAGCTCCCCCTCTATTCTATATGAACTATCTAGCTCGGCTGATTTTGGCGTCACTGATTTTCTAGATATCTGTAGGCGAACTTATTGTCAACCACGGGGATTCTAATACGCTTGAGCAACAACTTGAAATAGTATTTAAGATCGCTAAACACTTTAATGCCGTGCTTCTCTTTAATAAGGCAGACGCGTTTATAGAGCAGCGTATATCTTACCACGATACCCACAATCGCCTTATGACCATTTTCCTCCGAAAGCTGGAATATTATTAAGGAATTCTTTTCTTGACTTCTAATCGGGGTATCTAGTTTGATAACGCAATTCTCAGCCGGATTCATTTGATCATTAAATATGAGAATTTAACGAGAGAGTTTCGTAGAGATCTCTAGTCAACTTTTCTATCTAAGGCATATACGATGTAAGGACCTGCTATTGTTAAGGAGCACGAACTTCGACGATTAGAGTCTTTAGCTCTAAATGGACGAGAGGTGGGTGTTCGAGTGGCACTAAATATCTCACTTGCTAACCAATTATGAACTAGATTAAAAACGTCGCAGTAATTGCACACGCTCTCGCTAAGGCTGACGTTAACTAGGTGAACTATAAATACTTGAAGTTAGCCGCCGAATTAAATAAGAAATTTTTAAAGGAGTTTGGTAGAGAGAGGCCTACTAATAGAATATATGTCTAATAGTATACCTAGGAAAGTCATATGGATAATCTCGTTTAAGGTTGTCGAGTGGTTGGGCGCTTATCGTAATATTTTCGGTTAGTACACGATAGTCTATAATATCGGTCCTAAAGCTTTATAGTTAAATTAAAGTTTTTATATTATTTATAGCATTATATAAAAGTCAAGTCCGAGAGCTAGAATTAGATAATCAATTCGTGGTTGTCAACGCATATAGAATCGTATCACTAGAGGCCATATAGGTGCGTTAGAGAAGCGGGTATCAAGAATTATAATAGATAGAAATTCTGTCTGATTCATGCGGATGCGGGCCGGAAATGCTTTATGCTTCATTATTATGCATAATTGTATTACTAATCTAATAAAATAAGCGCACTACCTCACGTCACACGAAGACGTTTTAGATCTCCTATCTCTAGTTAATATAGTCGTCGTTTTACGGCTCGTGGTCGCTACAAAGTCGGTCGACTTTTTAACGTAGAGCGGTGAAAGTCGATGATTAACGCCCGCCTAAGCTCTTCGTTCTACGGAATATTATCACGCCGAAGGTCTTCGTGGATGATTCCTAAAGCTTTGATCTCTCTATTCGACTAATGTATCTCCTAGAGAAGGATAGGCGTGAGTTCTATCGACGTTATACTTTCGCCTCCCTAGCCTATCACGAGCATATGGCGAATCTCTCCAGCCCTATAAAGGAAATAGATTTTTGCTAGGTCGATTGTCCCTAGAAATATAGGCATAGCAGACCCTTAGGCCTTGCGCAAAATTTGGTATACTTGCGCTTCGCGAGAGATATCTTTCCACAGCCCCGACGTGGTTCCTTTTCCGATAATAGTGTAGCTATATACGATATATGTAAGTTTGAACGGCGCACCGTAAGCCCCGCAACCTCTAAGGGGTGTGCATCTGTCAATGTTTTCGTCTAGTTGTGCCTTTAGTAGACGCACTAAATCTTCTGAGGTAATCGGATGATAAAGATCGTCTTTGCTTCGACGATGGCGTATCACATTCGGATAATAGTCGTCTAGAACACCCCTAGACTGTAATCCGAGTAAATAGCGTTGGGTGCAGAATTTCGTATCGCGATCTTGGGCCTAGTTGTCTTGATGGTTCTCCGGGTGCGGTTGACGACCTGCTCGTTGGACAGATGGGGAGGATGTAACTTGGCTGAATCCCCGTTTGCGGCTTGTTGCTTCGTTCGAATCTGAGCCCGATGAGTCTGGCGACTGAGACCGATGCTACACACCCGACGGTGTATAGCTGGCCGGAGACCTAGTGGACAGTCGACGAGCTGCTAATTGTGGAGAATCCGGTGGGGATGACGACGGTTCATAAGCCGACCCGGAATCTGGACTTGTATACTCCAGAATAGTGCTATCGGAGTGGAGAAGGGTTTGCTGAAGCTCCGCTGTAGGAATGCGAGAGCGAGTGTGATCAAAACTGGTCTTCCAAATAGGAATCTCTGGTCGAACAGAATTTCTCCATTCCTGACCTCGTGCGAGTGAGCGGAATGCCATCAGACACAGGCATAGTGTCCTGGCCACAGAAGTCTTGGGTTGTTGGAAACTATCTTCAACTTCTACATTCACTTCGCTGTTAGGATCATATAAGAAGTAATAAAGCGTGCTAGGATCATCGAAGGAGGACCCGGGCAGTCCCGTTGGTCACGTAGGAGTACTCGAGCCCTTCCTGGATCATCACATGATACTCCTGGACAAGAGCGGAGCAGACAAGTCGCTCCGCATTGTACCTCAGCTTCGCTTCCTGGTCTGTCGGGATTTTGTTTGATCTGACCATATCCTTCCATAAGTCCATTGGTCGGAGGCCCATACGAAGGGTAGCGACAGGGAGCTTGTGAGGCGGCTTATACTCGACAGATGTGAGGAGAGTGGTAGTGTTGTCGTCGACACGGTGGATGCAGAACTGATCAGGTCTTGGGTGGTGTACACTTGACGGTTGGCTCGCATCCGCCTCAATATCTTCGTTCTCGTTTAAGGAATTCGCATGGTTGCTGAACTGGATTCCATCGCCGAGACCGAACTCGTCGCGAGCAGCGGGTAGTTTGCACAACTCAGTAATTATATCGTGGACATTCTCTTCCACGGCAAATCGCTCATACGCCTCGAGATCTTGCTCGCTGCTTATAGGCTTACGACAAAGTCGTCGACCTAATCCTTCTACCTCGTGCAAAGATGAGAACAAATGTGGCGCCCCCCCCCCACCTGGTATCAACTGAATGTAGCTATAGACGGACTTGTAGAGCTCCAACTGTTGTGCTGAGCAGTCGGTCCAGTGTTCCAATCGTGTCGGGCAGTATTTCCCGGTCGGAAGGGGTATTTTCCCGGTAGTCGAGCGAGATGGTGTCTCGACTCTCAACGGTCGGGAGAGCAGATTGTGGGAATGGCGCAAGAATTCCACGAAAGTGGTCGGTCGGGTGCGCTCTTCAGCTTGCTCCCGCCTCTCTTTCTCCTGTCAGCCGTCATCTTCGGCTTGCTTCCGTCTCTCCTCTTCCTGCTTCCGTCTCTCCTCTTCCTGGTTCCGTCCCTCCTCTTCCTGCTTCCGTCTCTCCTCTTCCTGGTTCCGTCCCTCCTCTTCCCGCTCCCGCCTCCTTTTCTCTCGTCTTCCTTCATCTTCGGCCTGCTTCTGTCGCTCTTCGGCCTCTTTGCGTCTCTTTTCCGCCTGCAGAAAGAGAGCCTTGTAATCTGGGGAGTTGTTGTCGGCCATCGATCTGTCGGAGGGGGAGATAGCTTGGAGATAGCTTGAGACGATCGCGACAGGTCTCGATTGGTGGATGCTTGATCCATGAAGTAAAAAGACGTACCTGACTTATCTGGGTAGTCAAGGCCTTGTAAGGAATAGGATCTCTGCACGAGGCGCTGAACTTTGTTCGCTGACGCAACCTGCAATGATCATTAGATAAAAAAATACTTGGTGGGCCGACGTCTACGAGGTATTTATAGGGACAAGCCTTGCTTGGACCTGGTGGTCTCTGACAGTATCAGCAGTTTTGAGCAGGTTGATGGCAAAGTGTACCAGTAGAATCAAGGAGCCAGCAGAAATATATCAGAAATGCCGAAGAGATAACCACTCACGTCAAAAAATGACCTTCATTATCATCGCTTAAAGCTTGCGTAGATACCCCAGGGGTTATATAGACCGCCTTAGATGCCTCATGTTTCAATATTCATGCCCTCGTTCTTCATTGCTGATTCCCGCGAAAAAGATCCTTTATTCCGTATCAAGTGGGACGCGAGCTAAATGTAATCGAATACCTTATCCTTACCCACTCTCTAGACCGCACTTTTTTTGGAATTGAGGGAATATCAGCACGTATGCATAATATTCTTAACGGAGACATGTCTTATCTGGTAGATCAACCATCTCCTCATCTTCCCTAAGACCCATCAACCTCAAAAAGTTTGAGCCAAATAGCTTCTCATCATATGCCTCAAAATTTTCCCCGATCCATGACTATGTCGTTCCATCGTTGGCTACCACTCACTAATGCTTCATTAAAGCCCAGCCAAGTATCCTAGCTACAACGGATTGTATACCTCATCTTTTGACAAGCCGACTTCAACACTCAACTTCGCCGAACTAGTTATGTTCCGAATTAGTAGTGTTCGAGTTGGCCTGCGTTAGCGGTGATATGCTCTCTACCATAGCAGTCCCTATATGAGTAGCTGACATAGTAGACCGCGGTCGTGTTGTTCAATATTAAGCCCTCGCATTCTTGAGGGCATATGGTTTATTTTATTGGCATCCCCGAATCTCCACCTAGTCCCACTGATCTCCACCTGTAATACACAACGTACCTGGTATTTCAATGTGTTTTAGAGATGGTCAAAATGTGGTTAGCGTATCTCTTAATCTCGCTGATAGTGCCACTAGACCAAAGTAGTCAGCACCATGTCTGTTATCCCTCTCAGTCACCGCCATTTCCCGCCATTATTCTACCACACAAAAATTATGGTAATTATTCAAATAACTAATATTCAGTGTATCGTCCACTAGATTCAGTAATAGCCTGCACCCTACGTGGCATACCCTCTGATAGACCTTCTCAGATACTAAGGCCTTCTCAGATACTAAGGTCGAGTTGTTGCCAGGCCTCCTTTGCATTAACTAACTAACTGGTTAACAAAGTACTCGGTAGTTGTAGTCGTCGCCTACTGACAGGCACTCTTCCACCCTATATCTGTGACGGCCAAGGGGGTAGTTGAGGGATATCATCAAATCAATACAATTACTTTTCAAGGAGTGATTGGCAGCGAGCTGGGGAATCACGCACGAAGTACCGCTTAAAACAAAAATGGGGGAGTAACACTAGACTACTCTGTCCACTCAGGCTGCCTAGTCTTCTCAGATCACTCTGTCCATTCAAGTATCTGATCCTTTCGTGAGGATCCACAATAGTTCTGTTGCCCGACTTATACATTATTCACTCCACTCCTACAGATCTATATATGTCACGTGATCCAGATCCAACTCGCTGGGGCCTATACAGGGTACAGCACGTCAGTCAGTCGAAGCCCATAACAGTATCAGCTGATGCTGGCAAATTAGGCCTAACGTTGGTCGTGCTTGTTGTACTCGCGGCAAGCCCTTTCTTTTCCCGTGATAAACCAATGGCCGACTGGAATTAATCACGTGTTATGACGGTGTTATGTTTGCATTGTTTGCTCTTGTCGAACAATACATAAAGCCCGTGAAATCCTTTGTTGCACTTCGGCGGCATCCTTTTTGACTTTATTAACACGATCCGCTATGTTCACCGAGATGGATAACAAGCTTCATTCGATCATTGAACTACCAACTATTGCCGACATTGAGGCATCGACCGATGTCCTTAGTATACGAACAAATGCCATCAAAGTGGTTCGAGTGAAGGAACGCTTCGCTGTCAAAATCGGGTATTCGATCCCGCCTTTGGAAGCTGAGAACATGAAATTCGTTGCAGCCAACAGCAAGGTTCCTGTGCCAAAGGTTCACGCCAACTTCATCGACCCAGAGACCTAGAAAAGATATGTCGTTATGGATTTCGTCCCTGGTACAGACTTGCAGAAATTACTGCTATCGCTCACCCCAACTGAGAAGACGACGATCAGCCAGAGGATCAGACAGGCGATTAATGAACTGCGAGCAATACCATCACCTGGCTACTTTGGGAACTTGAATGGCACGCCTTACACCGACGGTGTTCTTTCAACCCCTGATAACAACCCAATCATTTCCGGGCCATTCAAGGACCAGAAGTAGATGAATCAAGGAATACTGGAGAGACTAGGCCAAATGCAGTCTCCACACTACATTCGATTGTTGAAAGAAATGGTCAACTACACTCTCAAGAACCATCGAATTGTCTTTACTCATGGAGATCTGCAACCGAAGAACATAATTGTGGAGCGAAGAGGGGTTTGCAACAATGGAGATGCAGACTTCAAAGTTACTCTGATCGACTGGAATTTGTCAGGCTGGTACCCCGAATTTTGGGATTTTTGCAATTCAACCTTGTATTGTCAAATGAAACCGGACTGGCTTGAGCTTATCCCGGACATATTTGATCAGTACCCGATTGAATACCTAATAATGCAAGTTGTCTACTCGTCGGTCATTTACTGATAGTACATTGGGAAAATATAAAACACTGATCTTGGTCGTCAAAAAGGAAAGCCATAGACTCTGCATTTTACATTTTCTTGTACGCGAAATCAACCAAATCAACCTCTCGGCCTCTTTTCAACACCCCAACCAGAGAGAAGAGATCGTTTAAATTAATCTCACTGCTATAAGTCGCCGTTTGCGGCCATGCAGAGTGAACTACTTGATAATGAGCGGACCCGCACGGTATGGTCGTCACACCCACAGGAGCTTGCCGCTTTGTTTCCGCATGATTTGACAGATACCTGGCGTGAGCCTGTGGATTGGCGATGGAGGATAATATCCATCCTGCGGACTGCTCCTACAATGACCAACTTTCCGCGTCGAACTCCGTACGAGCCATGCAGAGGAACTGCTGTGACCGACTCTTTGATAATGCACCAATGTCCGAGCGACAAAATTCGCAACTATAGACGAACTTTGTTTCGGCTGTTTTTGGGGCACTGGATAGGGGGTTTCCCGGTGGGTTCTATTAGAGAGGGTGATTTTGAGCTTATTGGGTTGAGCCGGGATGCTGTCTTAATGATCTATGAAGCGTTTCTCAAAGCTGGACTTGTTTCATTGGGTGTTTTCCTTACGGAAAGCAGTGCCACCGAAGGGTCCAATATTGCCAATCTACTTTTTGCAATGCTTAGCTTGGCAGGGCTTAACATTTGGGCATGCTTAAGGTCTATATTTTGATCCTCGCCAGCGACATCCAACTGGTTCTTCGAAGCTCAACATAATGTACTATGGAGGGGCTTTTTAGGTGGCCTATGAGCCTCTGGTGATATCCATGGCCACTACAGCCTTTGTCGCTATTTCTGTCTCTGATCGTTAAGAGGGAAGCATTCAGAAGAGACACGTTCTGTCGATCAAAGTAACACGGCAATCAGAGCCGGATCAGTCAGGTGAATACGAGGTTTGTCCTTTCCGGCCCAGTATTATGTCAAGGAAGGCGGCCAGGGTGCAAGAATAAGGTGATATTCCAAATACCTCATCTGCCCCAACCGACTTCCAAAGCAACAAAGACGTGTTCCATCTGTACTCTGACGGCCCATCAAGTCTAGGTTGTGGATCGTGTCTGGACCCTTGCAAATCCTTTTATTTTCTTCTCCGGGCCACAAATAGAACCCTATTGATCTACTGTCCCGTGGGTCGTCCTTTGGATCTGCATCGCGGAACCGTACCTGCGTCTGACTAAATTCACGCGCGGTGTTTGATTGGTACGCTGGGTGTATTTGTATCTAGGGTCTCATAGATGTGATAGTATCGTTGCAATCTGGCGAGGGGGTGGTGATCACGAGCTAGATAGCCATGGTAGCTGAAATAGCTCACTTCATTGTCCTGGAAATTGGACTCGGGTTTCTATTCTGGGCTTCCAACAAAGTCTAGACTTTTGATTCTCCGTCAAAGGGAAACAACCAATACTCTGGATTTGGGAGTATGTTCATAGTGTCCGTACGGACAGGTAGCAGAAGTAGTAGTAGAGGCATTGTTCCAGAGATATATTCCAGCTCCTTCGGTTCTCGCTCTCTTCTTCCATAGCTCTCTGCACTCCGCATATCTCAATCTATCGACATTTCATGACGCATTTCGATATCTCCCGGGCACTTATTTTTGTCTTTCTTGCTAGGTCATATCCATCCATGGATGTAGTGATTATAGGGATTAATACTTGTTAAAGGGAAATATGCCATAAGGGTCTTTTGTTGTGGTGGCCTGGGTGCCTTTGTGGTGCCTCAGGCATCGACCGCTCCATATGAGTCGATTCTGATATTGGAATCTATCCCTTCCTGGTGGCGCCCGGATTACAAGGAACTCTACTCGGTAACTATTCAGGATCGAGACTCGAATCTTGGAAATGTATATATACTCAGGTATAGAATTGAGATGAGGGCCAAAATGTCGCACAGCTGTCTTTCGCACTTCCAAGGCCACACTACCTTGGTAAATTAGGACAACTGCGGCCCATCCGAATCTGACCTTTGTTGAACCACCAGAGACCAGCCCATCTAGCCAGCCATGTTGGTCTGGGGTTGGTGACAGTCCTAAGAAAAAAAAACCCCCCGTGTTAGATGCAAGCCAGAAATAGATATATCGATGTTGACTTACGCCCAGGTATGCATATTATTGAACGTGCTTTTGCCGTTTTTGACAATCTGATCGAGCGCAGTGTTGATGTAAGTCTTCCACTCATCTTGGAGATCAGGAAGGTTCAGGCCTTGGGGCATAGGAGCGTTGGGGTTGTTGTTGTAGTAAGTCTGCCACTGCCCTAGAAGGTCGTAAATGGCCTCGTAAGTGCCGCAGAATTTGCTCCAAACATCCGGTTCGTTCATGTAGTTGAAGACCATTCCAAGCTCTTTAGCCGAAAGGACCTGTTGATCACCCGTCATTCTTTTGAAAGCTTTCATATCGTTCGATTTCCCGCCGAAGAGCTACCGAAAGTCCAAGGTTAGTGATAAACACACACAGTGAAATGCCCGACCAGCAAAAAGCAAGAACTCACAATGCCCTTTCTCAAATTGGGTCGGCCCATGAAAATAGTCAGTCGGTCAAGATGATCGATATTGCCAAGCTGATAAAGCATCTGTTCAATAAATGGCACTTCCTTCCTGCCAATCTTCCATGGGAAACTGGGATCGGATATCGTAAACAGGTTATTGATGTCCGAGCAAGAAATTTTGGCCGTGCTCGTCTTCGCGGCTTGAGCAGACGCTTTGCCTTGATCAAGCCAATAGGTGAAAAAGTCTCCGATAAGTTGCCCCTCAAAGACATGCTCGGCTAAAGAGGTCAGCGGCTCATTCCTTCCAATTTCTCCCAGTCTCGCCACCCTCAATACGTACTCTGATACTGGGCTCTCTCCATGCTCCCAAGAGGGTTCAGAAGAGAAGGCCCCACCCACACTTTATCCGCCACGGGGTTCTCGAAAACTGCCCAACTGGTGCAGGAATCCGAGCTGTTTCCCCAGTACCGCGAGATCGAGTCCCATCTCCCGTTCTCGATGCCATTCCAGGGATTCTGCGCATCTTTGGGGAAGGCAGGGTATCTACCATTCCCGTCAGCCCACCACAGGTAATCGCTGCATACGGTGACTTTCTTGTCCGAGAGAGTGGCCACACCACTGACTCGTCGGTGCAGATGGGAATGATCATGATGTCTATGGGAGACTCCATGATGATGAGAAGGCTTGACATCCTCACTGGTACCCTCGGCGTCCTCTCGTTTGCTGAAGCTGAGGTCCACATAATCAACCCACGGCCATGTACCGGGCGGGATTTCATCGCATGAATCACAGTTATTCAGATCACTATAGCCAAACGAGCAGTCCATGCAGGCGCAGCCACAGCATACGTCCTCCTCATCGGGATCGTCGGCACATCCAACGCAATCAGTGCAGCTGCCACCGATCTTTCCTTTATTGTCATTCATCATTTTGTCTGCCTGTTCGTAGACAATGTCGTCGAGGCCGAAGAAAGTATTAGGCACTCCGGCACCCTTGCCTGACTTCAGATGGAAAGGGTCGTAGTCACCGCGCGCCTGGAGAGAGTGGTACGCGTCTTCTTCCGTGATCGAGGAGTTATCGGATGCTCCCTCGAGCTGTAAATCTCGCTTTGAATTGGACTTGGAAGATGGCCAACAAACTTTATTAAGGAGATGTTGCTACTCAGCGTGTTAATAAAGCGCATTTCTTTGGTCTTCTCCTGCACTGAGTCATGTAGGATGATACTCACCCTATCCATTCCCAGCTCAACATCGGAAACATCCCATTGCATTAAGTATCTAGTATTGGAAAGTCAGTGATCTGGAAGGAAAATCCGAATGCTGCTCGTAGTGAACGCACCCGTCATTGACATCTTGGTAGATGCGCGTACTGCAAAATCAGTTAGACCTTCTATGACAACTCCTAGTGTGCAAAGTCAAACCTACGTGACATTGTAGTCCGAGCACGCGGTTTTATCATCAGGATCGTCACTAGGTTGGAACCCAAAAGTGATCAAGTTGTCGTATGTCAGACCAACCTTCAGGCCGTTAATCACCGATCGAAAGCTTTCTTGGGCTTTACTCACATCTGCCTTCCTCTTTATGGGACGACTATCACCTCCCATGGTTTCGAAAGGCATAGTGAACTCCATTCCCATGCCGAAACGCATATACGTGCCGAGCGCAATTCTACCGCCATCCCCCGGCGCGTCGAAGACTATATTGAACATCCCAGAGGAAATTTTGTTTTTAGTGCGGCCCTCGAAATCTTCCGTGATCTGGTCTTTAGTTGGGGAGGGGTAGTAAGCAGTGATATCCCCGAGATCAGTCAGAACACGACTCGTCAGACGACCATTGAAGGAGACTTCAGGGTCGGAGACGAACTGCTCGTCACCTATTCCGTTGAGTGTAGCCATCTGATAGGTGATCGATGCATAAGGGCTGAAAGACATGAAAGCGCCATTCTGACCACTGGTGACAGTGTCTCCCTGAAGATTGAAGGTTTCTCTGGGACTGAATGCTGGGTTCCCTTTGTTGGCCTTCGTGATGTCGAGCGTTCCCACTCCTGAGATTCCATAAGTCAAGTCACTGGTGCCATCTACGGTCATGAATCCGTTGGCTTCTTTCACTGTGAAGTCACCGTAGAATTCGGTGGTAATGACCATCGACCAGCCGAAGAGGATCTTCGCGTCAACGGTACCCTCGACGAAGGCACCAACCCCTTCACCGTATTCTTCACCATCAATAAGACATTGCGATGCTCCTTGCCAGAATATTGGGGCACTGATGTCTTGTTTGAACTTGATGGGGCTACCCAGAGTGGCAGAAAAGTTGTTGTTGGACTCGTAGAACCGATTCTTCCAGTTCTTGTTACTGGAAGAGTAGTATCGCTCAACAAGATCTCGTTTGTCCGCGGTGCTCGTACCCGAGTCTCCAGGTGAGTCAACAACCCAAGGCCAGTAGCCATCGACATTGGAGAAGTCGGTGCGAATGCTGGTGTTATTACTGTCGCGTCGCATCAGTCCAAGATTGAAATCAAATTTGAAGTCAAAGACTTGGGAGGTCGGGTTGCGCTTTCTGATATGAGCGGATAGATTTTGGTCTGATGCGCAGGTGGTGTTAGCCAGCACTCGGACGAGATATTCCTCCTTCCGAACTCACCTTCTGACTGCTCCAGGGAAATGGCTCTGGCAAACGTGTTTGGGGAACACTGATTGCATCTGTCAGCATTTGTCCAATGCCCATGTAGGTAACGACTTCCAACATTGTTTGAGGACTTACATTATCGGGCATCTCCACAACAGTGCCTTCTACCCCTCGTTCGGCGACTCGGAAGCATCCTTCGATATCATCACTCAGACAGATGACGCGGGCCGTGAAACTCGTGTCTGTATCCTTGGTGTCCATATTGGAGGGACAGTCGAGAAAGACGAAGGGATCTGGCTGTCCGTCACGCTTTCTTAGCTGCGAAACCACGTGGGAGTCACCAGCGAAAAGCAAAAATCCGAAGCCTGCCCCTGGGCTCATGTCCCCAGCATCCGCCGCGCTACCAAATGTAGTCAACCCGTAACTGGGAACGGCCCCGGCAGGGGGTAGCAATTCTTCGGGAAAAATGTATTTGAGGTCGACCAGGTCAAATGTGCTCGAAGTGCTGTTGAGATATTGCGCATCTGAGATCGACCTCAACGCGGCAAGATAGTTATCGTCCAGATCAATGGCCCAGACCATCAATCCAGACAGACCCATCTTGTTGGCGTAGTCAATCTTTTGTTTGAAAGTCCCCTCATCATCAAAGGAGATCCAGTTGTCGTCGTTGTAAACCATGTACCTGACAGCGGCTTCTTTGTCTAGATAAGCAGTGCCACCGGCGTCATTGATGATGGACTGGATCTCGCGGTACGATAGGATACCCGCAGCATCTGTGCACTTTCCTTTCGCACCCGGGCCGCTGAACTCGCAACCGGGTTTCCAACACGATGTATCAGATAGTTGGAACGACCTGCCGTAGAATCCCAATCCCAAGACGATGGCAGAGGGATCTACATCCACGCGCCAGAAAAGGTCCAACGCGAGGTCGATCTCGGTCAGGTTCGTATGAGCAAGGACTTGGCTACCGATCGGGTTGTCGCTATCCCAGACACCGTGCAGATCATATGCCATCAAGTTGATCCAGTCAACATATTCTGTCATGGCTTTGAGATCAAAGTGACGAAGGTACCAATAAGATGTAGGCGCGGTGAAAGTCACCAAATATTCTTTGCCACTTGCATCGATAGCCGCGCGTAGCTCTTTCAAGAATGTGGTATAGTTCACACCATCCGACTCCGAACCTCCTCGATCATCGGCACCCGGATACTCCCAGTCGAAGTCCACTCCGTCATAGCCATACTCGGTGAGGAACCCAAGAAGATTCTGAATGAATGTAGCACGATTGGCTTCATTAGAGACCATGGTTGGAAAAACGCTCTGGTACTGACCAGGGTCACTAAAGGTCCATCCGCCAATAGCGATCATGATCTTCAAAGCCGGATTTCGAGATTTGAGATTACCAACGACCTTGTAGACATCTGGTGACAGATCATCCATGCTTGTCACCCGATAGTCCTGGCTGATATAGCCAAAGGCGATGTTGAGATGCGTGAGAAGATCGACGGGGATCTGGCCAACTCCCATAGTACCGCATGCATGTTGACTGTTCCATGCTTCCCAGTAGCCCACGATCCGCTGCTGCGAGTTGCTTCCCGAAGTGGCGGGCTTTGGTTGCGTGCAGTGAGACTGGCAGCCCCCTTCACAAAACTCGGTCGTGGTTCCGCAAAATCCGAATTCTGAGCAGCAGACATTCAGAGGGCAGACCGTCCCGGGGATGGCAGCATTCTTGCCGCATTCTGCGGTGGCATTGCAGTTCGATTGACAGCCGTCTCCGCAGTAGGTGTCGCCATAACCACACCAGCCGTCCACACCACAGCAGGCTCCATTTACGCACGGGCTATCAGCAGAGCAAGTGTAGTCCTGTTGGCTCTTCGTGGTTTGGAGTTCAGTACTCAAGGTAGCGCCCAAAGATGGTTGAAACCAATTGACAAGGAATAGTAGTATAAGGAGTGAGAACGCATGTTTCCTCGCGGAGGTCAACATGGTTGGAAAAGAATGTATGAATGAGTGTGTCGGCAGCTTCTCCAAGGCAATAGCAACAAAAGAAATGAAGTAAAGTGACTTGAAGAACAGACTATATACGAGATATCTCTGATATAAGTACAAACGCTGACATTTTTACATTTCTTTTTATTATTTTTGGGGTATTTTTACAGGCCTAGGTAGAGGAACCTTTCCCTGGATGTTTGATACTTCCGAGAGCAACTGCATACTCCGTTACGGAGCACAATCATCCAGCATGTAATCTTGCATTGAAACTTACTACGAGAGATTTATGCGAGCCTTGTAACGCCACTGGTGGGTCTAGTGCGTCAAGGATATCAGGGAACAGAGACCTATGTTACCCGATAGGCCAGTACCAGAAGACGCGAAATATTCACTAACTAATAGCGGCAGTCTCTCACGGATGAAAAATATCACAAGCGAGCATATCAAAGCCTCCGAGTCTACCGATTTGGCCTCGACAATATACTAGACTGCCGGGTGTGGACCTCCAAGCCATATGAAATTGATTTCGCCAAGCCATTTAGTCTCCATCTGGGGCCATTAACCCCTCGAGGATTGAACGGGGGCCAAATCTACACCAGAGATGCGACTCCACCTTGGTGCGGAACTCATTTCTTGGGATTCAGGAACAAGCGTCAATCGTGTAGTAGGACTGTTAGATGGTCCAATTCTCCGTCGACAGAATACCCGGGTGTGAGGAAGTAGAGACTTCGACATCCGATCAATTCTGTTCTTCATGAACAATCCAAAAGCAAAACATGTCAGGTATCGCTTTCATCGATAACAGCGTTTGCGACTAGTTCAGCACTCTAAGAATGCCACTAGTAACCAAAAAGCTAGGCAAAGTCACCTGAACAACCGTAAATATACCATTTACGCCTCGCATGGTGCCGGTAATCCGGTATCACAGATGGCCCTGGCCAGGTCTAACCTCAATACGTTAGTACTGAATATCAGGGAGTCGGGCGGGTGAAAATCTTTGATTCCAGGATTTTAGTGGTTCAAAATCCACCGGGGGCCGGACCCTGGGGCTAGTTGGCTCCTCGCCGAGATCAGTATAGAAAGTCCAAGCCGCCTCATTTGTCCCATGTTCGCATGTAGATCACCGCAAATGAGGCCTTAGGTGCGCAGGTGAACAGGCTAATATCTATAGATTCATGAGAAGTTGCACCAAGCTTTTTGATTGACCATATGTCAGGTCTTGGTAAGTCTTGGTACGAAGTAGTGTCAACGATGCCCATGCAGCGGCTCTCGAGTCCATGTGGGGCTTTGACCTATGAGCCAACCACACGGGGCTATCTGGTTTACCGGTGCACGAAAGCAAATGAGCCCAAATGGTGTGAAGGGGCCGAACCTAAACTTTGGCCAGGTGCAAAATCTGCTTGTAATAAAGTGGTATACATAGTACTAGTATACTCAGCCGAGTTGATGCCCGTATGCCCACGTGCCGGACTCTTTGTGCCGACTGGGAGTACTTGTGTGAACTAGTACCTGAATGACCAAAATAGATCATTATCTCCGACTCCGCTGACTTCGACATGGCGATACACCCCTAGACAGAGCCTCATTCACAATGCATTGGCGTAGGACGGTGTCTGAAGGTGGTTTCCATGGATAGGATCAGACATCAAAGATACTAGTCAGGCACCCGTATAACAACCACTCTGGAAAATATCGCGTCTCAATATCTCAATTTTACAAGTTTCGAAGTGGTTATTTTCCGATCGGTGGCGAGCACACACCTTCGCACCTGATTTTGCGGCCCACCTCGCGACCCTGCGTTGATGCGAAATCTCAGCTACAAGCGCAGTACAAGCGGCGAAAAAATTTGATTGAGCAGCTATCCAAGGTTCATCCCTCGGCTGACCTAAATTAGCTCGTTTCATGGTGAGACACTGTTGGAGCACCTGTTTTTATGGTATTGTTCTGTCATCCTGATACGCACTACTCATGCATTAGGGTTAGTCCTGTATCTATATTACTGGATTGTGACCCACACAACTCCACAACAATACAACCAACATACACATGCTACAAGAGACACATAGACTATCACATAGCTAGACAGTAGCCAAACTCTATCATCTCCCTTGAGAAAACGAAGCCACAGCCACTAGTGTCACTCTGAGCAAGGGCGATTGCATCGCTTCGAAGGTGAAAAATGTGGACGTATTCGGGAACAGCGGAATACGAGGCATACTAGTCAGTACAAGGAAATGAGCCCCATAGGCGTCTCAAACGCAAAACGGAACTACAGTGCTAATTTTCGCAAGACTACTCTGTATCAAGACTGGCACAAAGAGTGCAGCTCTCGAGTTTGGTTTGCCTATGTAGTTGACCATCCCGCAGTTCAAGTCATCTCTTTAGTCTTGGAAGTTTCTCACTTCACAGGGTGTCTGTCATTCATTTTTCTTCCCCTTTTCTCTCTCGTGATCGGACTGTTCTAGCGATCATGAAGGCTCTGGTTATTACATTCTCTTTTTTAGCTACCGTGGAGGCCTCCCTGTTTGATATCCTCCCCCGCGCAAGCTCAAACTGTACAACTTACACTGTGGGGACCGGTGATACTTGCACTGGCATCGGAAAGTCGCAAGATGTGACTTGGGCCCAGCTTCTCGCTTGGAACTCTCAAATCGATTCTACCTGCTCGTATGTGGTGACGCCCATTTGATGGCAGACCTATACTAATTAAAGGATGCACAGCAATCTCGGAAGCCTGGTGAACACTACTATCTGCGTGAGCAACCCAGTGGGAAACTATGGCCTCGGAGGCATGACGACTATTGTGACTACTACAGCGTAAATGACCACAATGGATCAATTGTATCGCCCGCATGCTAACAATTTTAGTGCCGTCCCTTCGCCTACTGGAGACGGCACGAACTCTCGCTGTGGTCAATATTACAAAGTTGCCGCAAACGAGACTTGCACGACTATGACGGACAAATTCAGCATTTCTCGAAACAATCTGTGGGCGACCTATCTTTTTCTGGTTGAGAAGATCAAAGCTAACGGTGGCAGCCTTTTCCTGAATCCGGAACTCTTCCAGAACTGCACAAATCTTCTGGCTGACACCTACTACTGCGTGCAACCGGTGGGGTATATTGCGACTTACTCAGGCTACGGAGAGTCGTCGACCTCTACAGTGCCGTTTGATGAAACCCCTTCAACCTCGCTACCTAGCCAACCTCCAATGGTCTAGCCAACCGGGTCCAGTCCGATTATCCCTCTTGCAAATGGAACCCGCACAGACTGCACTGAGTAAGTTACAGCATCTCAAGGAATTAGTGGATGAGCTCTGACCTTAGTTTAAGATACATATGGTTCTCCGGTGTAAACTTTACAGAGAACACAGCCGCTGACTGCTGGAATCAAGCATGGCTATCGAATGTTTCTGATGAGGTTGGTTTACTCCGTGTCTCTTCTCCAACTGTGACTAACAACAGAATCTAGGAAATCATCCTCTGGAACCCTTCTTTGGCATCAAATGAAACTTCGAGTTCCTCTGCGGTATCTGCCTCAGCAACCGCCATCGGCCAGGCTGAATTTACTCAATATCCGTGTACCATGGCGCCGAGTAGCTCCTACTGTGTCCAACTCGCGACTCCCACCTCCAGCAGTAAGTCTCCTAGCAGGAGGTCAATACACCCACACTGACCCCAGTCCCTTTATCTTACAGACAGTAGCACGGCTATCAAAACACCCGTTCCGCGCGCCAATGGCGAGATTGCCAACTGTACCAACTGGTACGCATCGCAAAGCAAGTATGACACATGCTACAGCGTCATCACCGGTCGTCACCTTTCATTCGCCGAGTTCTATGCAATGAATCCGTCCGTAAAAAGCGACTGCAGTGGGTTGTCCATCGGGACATACTACTGTGTCTCAACCTACGAAGGAGGGTACCCGCCCGGCTTCCCAGGCTGGGCATCAAGCTCCAGCAGCCCCGTCAGCAGTATTCCACTGACGAGCTCAACTCCGACTAATAGTGGGGTTTCAACGCCATCTCCAATCCAGACTGGCATGGTGTCGACCTGTGATAAGTTCTACAAGGTTATTGCCGACGATGGATGTTATGATATTGCCAACGACCACGGGATCCCATTGGCGTCGTTCTACACCTGGAATCCAGCAGTCAAAACCGATTGCTCTGGACTACAGGCGAATGAGTACGTTTGCGTGGGTGTGAAGTCGACTTCCACTTCGGCTGTAACTGCCACCACCTCTGTATCTGGTGTCACGACTCCGTCGCCGATCCAGACAGGTATGGTTTCCACGTGTGATACCTTTTACGACGTTCAGTCCGGTGATTCGTGCTATGATATTGCTGACACCCACGGTGTCTCGTTGGATTCTTTCTATGCTTGGAACCCAGCGGTCAAGACAGACTGCTCGGGACTCCAGCCAGATGAGTATGTCTGCGTTGGTGTTAAGGCAGCCACTGGAACTGGTGTCACGACGCCGTACCCTATTCAGACGGGTATGGTTGCTACGTGCGACGAGTTTTACAAGGTCATCGCAGACGATTCGTGCGTCGACATTGCCAGTGCAAACGGAATTCCAGTGGCTTCTTTCTACAACTGGAACCCGGCCGTGAAGACCGACTGTTCGGGCTTACAAGCGAATGAGTATGTCTGTGTCGGCGTATCTTCCTCGTGATCAGAGCTGTGGCTAGTAAGAAGAGCCAAACCTTCAAACCTTTGGCTCGGAATCAACTGGGTAGCATTCCTAACAAATAATTCCCAGTTTCTTAAGATCCATGAAATTGACGTTAGGCCGAGTATACTCTGCCTCGAAAAGGTCATAATTTATCCCGTATCCGCTTTTAGGGCTGCTTGTACTGTCTCCATTCAGGGGATTCTCTCCAGAGCCATAGAGAAAGGTTGCCACCTCGTCTGAAGAAAGCTTCACGAACCTCCCCGGCCATCTGCGTTGGCCTTCCATCGCGATTGTGACGGTCGGTTTCAGTGATTGATCTCTCTCGGTCCAACCCAGATCCTCTCGCATCCTCTCTAGTAGACCAGTCAAGCATAATTCATCAAATGGGAACTCGATAAATTCCAAGTCAAGAGATCGTAATGAGGATGGTGCCAATTTGAGTATATCAATCAACTCCGACGTATCGATGCTGAAATTAGAGAGCCCCAAGTGAGACAGGTTCGGCCACTCCTTCAAAGGCAGAACCTCCTTTAGAGGTATAGGTGGATCCCTCATTGGAAAATGAGATCCATTGTTGAATGTAGTTGATAAATGGAGATGAGTCAATTCTTTGGCCAGGCTCACAGCTTGACGGAATAATCCGCTTTGGAATCCTGTCCAGTAACCACTGCTGCCAGTAAGTAAAGACAGATGAAGACGCTGGAAGCCTGGACGTTTCATGATGGCCGCAAATTGATTGCATTCCTCACACGGCTGGTCGAAAATCAAAAAGTTTAGTCCGGTGTGGAGTTGCTTGGAGTCGAATCTCAGCTCGGAAACATTATGCTTCTCAACCTGTGACAAAAGGCGAAGAACAATTCGAGCCCCTCTCCATAGCTCTTTGTAGTCATCGGTTGCCTCTAACCACGGTAGCGGCTCGGCGACCTGAGAATCAACGGGATCATAGTGCCATCCTCGCGGAATCGGATAGTTGAATCCGTATGGAAATGCTCGGATCATAGGTGTCTCGTACAACGGAGTAAACAGCCAGCCATGTGCTGCAGGCGTAACAGTCACTCTTCCAAGCTGAGGGAATCGCTCTAGGCCGTACAAAAAGGCTTTTTCGTCGTCTTCGGATCTGATTATAGACCTCTGATCATCTAATAGTTGTTGATAATACTTCCAGCAGGCTTTCAACGGCATTTGGGCATCCAGCTGGTGTTGACGTGCAACATGATCAGGTCGGTCCACGTCGCGGTATTTCCGATGCTTGATCGTATAGCGGTTCTCTGCGCAATCCTCCGTGAACCAAATGGGACATTCCTCATTGGAGTTGATTTCCATACGTTCGGGTTCGATGATTGGGCGTACGGATTCCCATATCAACGGCGCGGATACAAACCGTGCGTCGTCCCAGATGATCTCCCTGATTTCGTGGCGAAACTTTGGATGGTCTGCTACCGCCCGAAAAACTTCGATGTTCAACGAGTTGGCCGAAAGAAACACACGTGCGGAGGAGAATGGTGAAATGTCGCTGAGGGCTTTACACGTCAAGCGCAAGGACTTGACATCTCTGTTTGGGAGAAAGGAAACAATGGATGAACTCAATTCAGGGGGGAAACGCAGAAACCACGGGCTTTGTGTTGCCATCCCAGACGAGGGGACTGGTGAAGTCCTTGGAGACATGTCAATGGGTCTAAAGGTGCGAAGTTGTAAAGATGTCAAATGTGGGTGAACCCTGCACTTAGAGAAAACCAAGTGCCCCGGGGCAAAGCGGCCCAGGGACCGGTTTCCAGCTGAGCGGGACTAGAAATTAGCTGGGCGGGGCTAGCATCCGCAAATCACATACGAGATCTGCTGAGAGAATCTGGTTCTAAATACCTCGAACACAGAGTGATTCTGCACGCGACGGACTTTCAACCTTCATAAAAAAGAGAAAGGACCAGTTCGACAAGTTGAGGCAGAAAGACGAGCGGGCCCTCTGCAAATGGTCAGTTGGTCACGGATTCAATCCATTCGCCGCCCTCTCCGGCAGTATGCATTTTTCAGTGTGGTAATTTATACCAGATCGTACATGCCACCTAATAGGTGTAAGAGGTTTATGTATTTGAGTAAATAAAGAATATTGCTAATTTCTAGTAATATTGCCCTCAACAATTCGTTCGTTCCAACCTTTAGTAATTCATTGCTCTCGCTTAACCCCGAAATTTTAGTCTCTTACGACGCCCATGGAGTTGATATTTCTGAGAATGACGACCCTGTAGATTGGGATGCCTAGATCATACCAGAGTGTTGTGGTGGCCTTGGTGCCTAGGTGCCTCAGGCAAAAATTTCCCCTAGTGTAGAGACACTCTCTCCTCTCCATCTCCTCCTTTTCTATGTTTTCTCTCGAGGAATCAAACAGCCGTTTTCCCCTGGTTGTGGGTTTCGAGTAGTACTCTCATCAGATGCTTTGATCACACTTATACAATCCGAAGACTCGATTGCCGCGTTCAAGTGTCTTTTAGTTAAATGTCACCTACATACTTTATCCAGTGTTGCCCAGGTGATTTTGATAACTTGAATTTTTCTCTGGCAACGTGCGTGGCATATCTGAGTTAATAGTCGATCCCCATGGCAGCCCAAACATGGGTCGCCAGAAAAGCCAAATCTTCCACATTGAGAAGGATGTCCCTTTCCCGAGGGTATTGAGCTGCCCTCCGCCAGATCTTTTGAAAAGGAATCAATAGAGGTCCACCTGAAACCGAAGCCTTCTCACGAGTATGGCGGTTGACTCGTGTTTTTCCGATATCCGCATCCCATTCCCACTGATCGATCTTCAAAAGCGGCTGATGACGTTTGATCTTGATCGTGATGGCGATATTTGCTTGACCTGCGGATGGGTCCACCCACATCCTGGCGTTGGCGCGAAGCTTCCTCTCAGATTCAGACACCCCCACTTCCAAAACCACTGCAGGCCTGCTAGATCTTTGCCGTGCGCTGGTCATAGGCGCCCAGCCTTCATCTGGAACTTTCTGATTTGCACCCATATTAACCTCGACACCTGCAAAGGACACGCAATCACGGTCTAGACCCATATCACCAAGGGCATTTTCGATAAGAGTGTTCATTGCGCGGGCAGCGCAGCGGTGTTCCATAGTAGTCATCTTGATGATAAGGATTTTCGTATATCGATTGTATTCATAGGAAAATCCGAGGTGACCGTGATCTTTTCGATCAACAATTTCCCTTTGAAACGAAGTGGGCTCAATGAGAAAAACAATGAAGTTCGCGTTCTCATCATTCCCGGGTTGGAAAGTATCACTGTGGGCACTCTGGGAACCATCTTCGTGGGAAGGAGCTGCCGTTGCGCGGTTAGAGTTCCGAAACCGTGCGCGTTCATACTCCATAATGATATGAAACTGTTGACTTTCTCTGTAGATGTCTCGAGGAACAGGTGGAGGCAGATTCTCCAGAAAGCGCTCCGTATCCTCGCCATATCTGGCAACACGGGTGGCCGATTCAACCATTTCGCTAGGCATTACAGGATATGTTCTTCAACTTGAAAGGTTGTTAAAATCGTCAATGTTCTCAGTAATAGATTCTGGTGTGATCACTTGTAAGATGCGCGAATGAAATTTGAGAATAACTTTTCTTCGGTGCAGAATTGACTATCTCATAATGACAAATCCTCCGTACCTAACTTTGGGAGACCGTGGGATACTACTGCAGTGAAAGTATAAACAAATGTTCGAGATCCACTATACGATCGGATTTTTAAGCATTTCATCGGGGAAAACCTTGGAAACAGATGATATTCTGATCATTTGGACAGATCGATTGGCGCAAAGGCAGCTAGTGCAAAACCATAATCTCTTACGCTCATATTGATGGTGAAGCTCGGCAAATTTATTGATTAACAACCTTGGAAAAATTCGAATATTATACAATCGGTAAAAAGCAGATGAACGGTAAGGGAAGGAAGGTTAAAAGATAGGGTTAAAACTGAAAATCGTTATCATCCCTACTTAAGTAGAGGGGTTTTATATACCCTGGTAAGGATGCATGAGAGCCTGGAGTGAGCAATGAAGTGCGCGACTAGAAGGCTCAAGGCTCAAATAAGCAATGATGGAGACGTCATTCATCCAACATCCGATATGGTGTAAGTCGAGGTGATGGCGGAAACACCACGATTGTGCGTGGTTTTGCAGGGCAGGATTGTGGGGTTTCCGTTTAGCCCAACTATGCGCCTAACGATATGGTATGGATACAAAGTAACCTTACCCGATACGGTTTATCGTGACCTTTTATATTTCCGCGAGTAGCTAGCTCTATTTATAGTATAGCCGCTCTATTATAAAAGAAGTCGGTAGGATAAAATAGAAGGCTTATATATTTAATCTAAAATCTATACTAGTCGAATCTCTCTCTAATCTCTTTTTATATTAATATCCCGAAGATAGATGCCAGCCTAAGCTTTAGATTAGAATTCGCTCGTTTATAAACTAGATTTAAATATCTATAGTGATTTTACTACAACTACGAAGAAACGACTATATATTTTGTATATTAAATTCGAAAAGTAAATCTAGATATTCAGTTGTTTACTATAGCTATTTGTGAAGGGCTGTAGCAGAATTGAATCAATTAATACTAGGCCAAAATGCTATTCACAATAATCATGGGGAACCCATGATTCGACCACGATCCGGTATCTTTATGTGAGCTCTCCAGTCAGGTGACATCCTCCAGTGCTATCCCTAATCTAGCAAGTAGATGCATAAGCGAGAATGATCGTCGTGATCGGTGTACAGGAAGCGAGGTCAGATGCTATCCCAAAGAGGAAACAGAGGCTGATTCGCGAAGGGTGCGGCAATGGAGAGATCTTATCGTGATCTCGCTTCGCTGTGGGCTCGCTCCTGTTTCGATCCTGATTCGCTGAAGGTGCATCTCATTCATGAGATATTAGTATCGGGCCCAGTCCCGTCACACTATTTAAATTAAATAATATCGTTTTATACAGCAGGTTAACCCGCCGGATCGTAGATATTAGGTGAAAAATATTATATTAAAAGCTTTCGAAAGATATTTACACTAATATCTATTATATTCTAAATTTCTAATCGGCTCTAATAATCTTTACTCGTTTTTTTCGAATATACCATTATAAAAAGATTAAATACAAATTTCCCACTAAGTTACAGTCATGTTTCATGAGTATTTGCACCCCAGTACTTCCGCCTAATCCTTCTCCTGTACTTTCCTCTATTATAGCCCACAAGCTAGAGCTTCTATCATACATCTATGGGGGTGTAAGTGAACTTTCTAATTACTACTTATTAGTGAAGGCGTTGAATGAAGTTTTAACAGGCAGAAAGGAAGGTGGCCTGGGGACTTCGGAGTACTGGGGTGCAAATACTCATGAAACGCCACTGTAGAAGAGTGGTGACACTAGTTATGTACATACAGAAATCAGATAACTGTAATTTACGGTGACTTTCGTCCAAGGACAAATCTGAGGCCTGCGGAAAGATACACCAATGCAATCTAGCGTGCTTGGTATGGGGCCTTGGGAAATAAGGATAGAGAGATTGGAGCTAGTATGTATACATGCTAGAACCACAGGAGACAAGAGTGAGTTCAAGTTCTCCGGTCTCGCCCGAGGGTTCGGAATTAAGCGGAGGTGGTCCTTGAGAGCAGGTTGAAACAATTTCTTGCTAGCGACCCGGGGGTACGAGGGTATTATGAAATGCACGAACCTACGCTTTAGGTGGGGAAGGGGCTCTCAGTTAACCAATCTTTTCACGTTGTACACCACTTTTGCATGCCCTCTTTAAAACGCCTGGTTTATTGAACGTTCGGTCACAATTTCACCGCCCGCCATTGCTTTTCCTCCCGTTGACCATTAGTTGACCACCCCATGCCTATACGATTTAATTGCGGTCAGAACGATCTATTTTCGTTACACTTGAAACGGAAATGCACCTGACCGAAGTCTTGCTTTCATCCGGATTTTTGAAATTTGAACAGACTTATTTTCTACAATACGCCCGCACCCCTTAATCCCATTATCGATCTCTGTCCATGAAGTACAAAAATTCGTCAAGAGAAACATCCTTTCTTAAAATCAGAAAACACATGTCGAAATCACAACCTTCCTCAGGCTTAGTATGGCGACTTGGAGCTGTGAAGCAAATGAGTGACTGAGGTATTGTTCTGGTCAAGGTACATACCGTCGTGAATTGGACCCACAGACACGGTCTTATACACACCAGAATTGTTGTACCTAGTGAATAAAGGGAAAACACAATTGACCCAAATGATGCCACCCAGAGAGCTTTCTGATGCTTAGAAGCTGTGGGGCCTGGATGTCGCCAACCTAAATTGAACGTAGTGGTTGCTACAGACATAGGCTTCATGCATATATACCAAAGTCGAATGAATTGAGCATGAAGAAAGCCTTGACTGGCGAGAACCATAAAAGTGAATATAGACGCGCTCGAAATCAGTTTCACCTTTTTACTCTCTTTGATTCTTTTCCAAACTTAATCCTGAAACACGCTAGTCTATGTTTGGATTGGGCAATTTCCAACCCCTGAAACGTATTGTAACTCCAAATCACATGATGAGTCGTATGTAATATATTGGAAAGAATGATGTCTTGTAAACGTATGGACAAGCCACATTTTGTTAGCGGTGTGATAAAATTAGTCCCTAAGGTCGTTTTAAACAGCTAACACAGCTAGATGGCTCAATAAACATACCTGCAGCAACTCCTAGGAACTCTTCTGACCCAGTGAATCTCACGCTCATATAGTGAGAAGCATAGATTCGATGGGAGAACAGGAGGAAAGAACAAAATTGAGCTTGTGACCCAGAGTCGTGATATGTTGGAAGTACGTTCACCGGTAGAAAGAACATATTTTACAAGGGCCCTGAGGCACCAGTACGCTTGCTTTCGGATCCAGTCCGTCAGAGGTTGTACCTTGATAAATGGACTTGACTGACTTACCTCATTCTACCGCTTTAAGATGCCCTTTTCAAATGCCAATTTCTGAACATCTCGCAACCAGTCTCCACAACGATAAAGTGGTGTACCAGGATACAATTGTTTGCCCCCAAGCGTCAACTGGGCTCGAGGCGCCTCGACTGCTCTGCAACACTCCGTCTCGAATCTGGGCAAATCTGTGTGTGCAATGGATCCAATGATTTTCTTTGTGTCTGGAACATAAGACGCCGAGAGCTCACGGTCAAAGGAACCTCTTGGGTCGTATCTCATACCCTGGAGTAAATTCCCAGTGACATGATAGAGACGTCCTCTTTCAGACATTTGGGGGGCGGTGGGGTTGATTTCAATGTAAATGGCTTCATGGTTAGGTGCACCAAGATATTCGGCCGTGTAAACACTGAAAGACATATTTAAAGAGTTTTGAAATGTTGTGGTAACTGAAAAAGCTATTGAGATCTTCTTGATGAGTGAGGGCTGTTACCTCGTACAAGTCTCTTTATATGTTGAGCAGAAACATCAAGGACTTCATCATGGCTCAGACCATTCTCGTCAATATGCCAAGTTGGTATTGCATGTGTCGACGTGCATAGAAGGTACCGCGCGCCAAAATGCACGTTTGACACTGATTGGTGTACAAATCAAATTTTTGTGCGCAGGTTGCATTTCACGGCGAGACGCCCATTACAAAACTGCTGCAAATTTTTCTTTATCTTTATTTTCTATTTTCGTATGAGTCTCCTTGGATTTGATCGTCTCTTGAATATTGCTAGCTGATTAGTTTCTTGGCTCTCGCCAACTAAGTAATTGAAGGTGGCTGGCGCCTTCACTAGATCACGGACCAAAAAGAGCGCTAATTTCCCTTGTTCATTGAGTACCTCTATTAAGAAAATCATCCGCCTTGAAGTAACAATATTTGGCTTTTAGGCAGTGCAGGTGTTAGGTGGAACCGTAGAGTGAATGGAATAGACTGCTCTCCAGTACATTCACTGACCTAGGTGATTAGTCATTCGCTATGGTAAATGATGTGTGGGTTTTGATACTGATGACGGCGTTACATAGAAAGAAAACATTGGAATCCAGCAAATTTTTGATGGAAATACAATTCAACAAAGGATTGGATTTCAACTTGAAAAAGCCTAACTCTATTCCCGACCGCATACCTGCCAGGTATATGGATTTGGAGGGCTGTGATTGGCTCCCGGAAGGTGGGGCAGGTTCAGGTATTTGGGCTTCAGAAATACCTGAAATCCCGTGCTCCGATCGGTCTGAAAATTTGCACAGTTTTATCCTGATAGTGTACGAGGGTGTATGCCAAATTTGGGATCGAACGGGGTACGGGAAGGTGGGTAAAAATTGATCTGAAATCTGGACTTTTTTTTTGGTGGGGTGCGACCGGCGGATTTTAATACGGGCCCTGATACCGATCCGTATCGGTCTTATCTTAGTCGCCTAGTAGTAGGAATTCAATACCGTATTCGTATTTACCTACCCGGTATTTAAAGTCGCGGACTTTAAAAAAAAAGCAAATAACTTTTATTATTTAACTAATATATTAATATATTATATAAAAAATATAGAAAACTAGTATAATATACTATCTAAAAAGGGCTATAAAGTGCACTATTTAGACTATCTATAGCTGGTCTAGAAAGGGAGATATTAGCCGGTTTAGCCGGGAAAATACAAATTCCTACTATATACACTTTCAAATATATATCTTAGTAGTATATAGTGCATTCACCTATATATATATCCCGACTAAGATCGGACTAATACTACGAATGTACCTAACTAAGGGGCCACGTAAGCCAGTTGGAAGGTGAGTCTTGCTTATAGGGGCCCTAGCCACGCCATAGTGGGGTTTTTACACGGAGGGGGCGTCTAAGGGGCCCAGGTGGGTTTTTGTAAAGAGGCGGGCTCTGAGGGGGCCCAGGCACGCCGTGGTGGAGCTTTTGTACAGAGGGGGCCCACTAGGCCAGTTGGAAGGTGAGCGTTGGTCACTAGGAGGCTCAGGCCGGCCATGGTGCAGCCTTGGAATAGAGGGGAGCTCTGAGGCGCCATAGTGAGCCTTATCAAACAAGTGGGACTGATGTGAACTAATACCAAAACCTTACTATATAGAGCAAGTGGTAAAATGAGTGTAATTTCTAAAAAGGAGCAAGTTGCTTAGCTTGGTAGCTTGCTACTTGCTGACTAA